CCACTTCTACCTCGTCGAGGAGGGTGGCGAGACCATCACGGCAAAGATAAAGAGGGAGTTTTGGGTGAGTCTTTCATCGCACCGCATTGCTAAATAAATACGCATTAAATCGTCGACTTCTTGCAAAAGGAAATGCTACATGATGTGTACGTGTGCGGGACTTCTTCACGTCGCGAGGAGGGTAAAGCGGCCCGCAAGCGCGCGAGTGCGAGTGAGGCGGTGCGCAAAGATCGTCTCAAGGACCTGTACCATGAGGCGCGTGACACTGAGCCATCCGCGACTTCCACGCCAACGTGCTTGGAGAGAACATCAAGAAGCCCCAAATCCGCCAGAGAATGAACTCGAGGGAGGCCGACCTCACCCAAGCGCCACGGCGGGTAATTAAGTATGACAACATTCGTTCGATTCCTTCGGTGAAACATTACACTAATCTTCTCGCATGTCAAATACTTGATGTCATGCGGTGTGTCCGTCGTGGTGCGACAACCACGAGGAATCTTTGGACGGAGATTGTGCGCATGTGGCGCACGGATGAGAAGCGTCTGTGGTAGCGGCGCGGCCGACCGTCAGGCCGGCCAGCAGCCAGATGCGAGGGTGTCACACCACCAAGGGAATCAGCCCCTCCCGATTCGCGACAAGATGGGTATCGTCCGTTCATGTCTTAATCCTTGCGCTCAATTGTCAATACTTGTAACCATGTTTGTGTTTTCAATGCGACGTGAGACGCACGGTGGGCAGGAAATCAACGAGTACACCGCGTACCTCCTCTCTCACAAGGGCAAGGCGACGGATCCGAACAACGTCTACAACCCGGAGGACGGGCCCGATGCGTACACCAACCCCACCGCCACGAAGGCCACCGAGTACACCGTCGCTGCTCGCCCGGCCGCCACGGGAGGCGTTCGACCCCACCGCCCGAGCCCTCGGACATAGACCTCCTGCAGAGGTTGGGACTAGGGAAGCAAGACGGCCGCTACTACATGGCCCACAGCGCCTCGACCCGTCCCGTTCCACGGCGACCCGAGGTTCGATCCACGCCCACGAGCTCCGGCGACATCCCGTAGCGCCGGCGGCGATCGGCGTCACGCGGTAAGTGCCGTTTCGTTAAATCGTTCACTCGTTTCGCTTTTGTACATACAATCAACACTGCGGATGTAATATTGCAGCCCAGATGGAGGCCAAGATGGAGGAGAGGATCGTCACGTTGCACGCGCAGATGATGGCGCAACAGATGGCTTACCGGCAAAGCTCGCAAAGCAGAACACTACAACACTCGGATGCGAGAACATGGCCAGCTTCTTCCGGTCCATGCAGACGCCCGGGCGTCTACACGCCTCCTCTTCCAATGTTCGCTCCACCGCCTCCTCCTCCGAGTTTTTTTCCGTGCTCGCTCCCTGCCGCTCCCGGAGGGACCCCGGTGAGTATATTGACTCTTGCTTTAACTCAGCGTCCATGCTGCGAGATACTAATGACATCACTTGGCGTTTAACATGCGGAGTACGATCGGCGGTTCGAACCCGTCTCTGGAGGTCCCGGCCATCGATGATGTCGTATCCACCACCTGCACCCTATCCACCGTATCCACCTCCGCGTGGCCCTCCTCCGACGTACTCGTGGCCGCCGGTGCGCGGAGGGTGGCAGTACGCGCAGGCGCCTCAGTTTGGTCCAAGGGGGTTTCCGTGGGCAAACCCTAGGGGCTCTGGGGGCGGAGCGGACGACGAGACCGGGGACGGCGCGACGAGCTAGGTATTTGTCGATTCATTATCATGTATCCACCGATCGTCGAAGTTGTTGTCATGTATTTCTTTTCTTCGTTATGGACCTAGACTTGTTATGTTGAACTTCGTGTGATGGACGTCGACTTGTGGTGTTCGACGTGTTGGACTTCATGTGATGGTTGTAATGCACTTGTGTGGTTGTTATTGTGACATATATGTGAGATATATGTGATGTTGTGCGTTATTGTGATATATGTGGTGATGTTGGCGACAAATGTGATGAAATTGTGATATAAATGGTGCTACTCGGTGCTTACGGTGAAATTGGATTATAATTTGTGATTTTGCGAGGTTTTGATGCGAGAAAACAGAAAACAAAAGCAAAAAAAAAATTTCTAGCTTTGCCTTCTGATCGGCAAAGTGGGCAAAAAAACCAGATGACGAGTCTTTTTGCCGATCGCAATGGGAGGCGATCGGCAAGAAGAGGTCAAACCTTTGCCGATTGCAACTCGAAAGCAATCGGCAAAGAACATTTCAAAAAAAATATTTTCTTTCTTTGCCGATCTTGAGTGGCGGCGGTCGACAAACAATTTTGAAAAAAATTTTTCTCGATCGCCGAGAGAACCAAAGATCGGCAAAGCCTCGCCGTCGGTCGACGGCCACCACGCGGCTATGCCGATCATCTTTGGCGTGGCGATTGGCAAAGGCTTTGTTGATTGTGTGCCACGCCGTGGCGGTCGGCAAATCCGCCTTTGCCGACCCAGGCTTTGCCGACTGCTCTTTGCCGACTGCCACGTGGCTTTGCGGTCGGCAAAGCCTTTGCCGACTGGGTTTATGCCTTTGCCGACCGGGGCAAGCAGTCGGCAAAGAGACGTTTTCCTGTAGTGAATAAGGACTGAAAACACTTGAAGTGGTAAAGCCGAATCTTGCTCCTCTGATTTATGGTTGATTGAGAGTTTTTAAGCTTACCTGCCTTTTTTGCCCTTCTTTGTAGCAAACTCAATAAACACAAGGCAACACAAGATTACGGAAGTCCTTGCTGCGGCTGAAAAGGAACATTAGTGGCGTGAAGCTTCATTATTCTTTGATAGATTAGAGTAGATTATTACCCTTTTTGGCAAAGTTGATGATTTGTGTGCCTATTTACAAATGATATTTCTAACTGTTGGTGCCATTTCTAAACTTAATAATTTGTCGACATGGATGGATTGTTTTATGCTTGTCATTTGAACTTAGCCAAGTGTGCCCCGTGCGATATGACATGTTAAGTGAATTTTCCTGCTATATAAATGGTATCAAAGTAAATTTGAGATTGTTCTATGAATTCCAGTTTTTTTGTCAGCTAGTGTGTTTTGACGGTACATGCATGAACCTACAAAATCGAAGTTTCTTTTTTTATGGTGGATTACATTATTTCCCTGTCAGTAAATTGTGTCAACGGATAGACTCGACCTAGACCCGGTGCACATAAATTTTCGTGTCGACGTCCGGGGATTTCCCTATTGACGTCGTACTGGCAAGAAAATTTGTGACAGATTTTTTTTCTTATTTCTGTCGCTTTTGTTCTGTCGATATTTTTCTATCGGTGAACCCGACAGAAAAATTGATTTGCCAGCAACCGACAAGGAAGTTCTGGTTTTCATGGGACGACTAGCGTCCGGACGTCTGGCCCTATGACACGTCCGACGTCCAATACTTGTCACAGGAGCCGTCCGATCTCAGCTATGAAACCATGTAATAGCGTAACAGAAGGAGCGCTCATCCCACGCCACGCCGCCACCATCGAGAAGAAGGGGAGCGGGCGGCGCCCGCCTGTGCTTCTGGATCGGATGCCCAGCTGGCGCCGAGAGAAGGTGAAGACACCGAGGCGAGGCAGTCAAAGGCGAGGAGGGAGCGAGATGCAACACTCAATCTATTTTCAAAACATCCAGATGAAACACTTGCAACATATGTCTGAAGGCAGCTGAAACACAAACATGCATTTGAATGAAACACTTGCAAAAACATAAAAAAAACACTTGAAAACCATGTAAAACATATACAACATTTAGACAAAACACTTGCAACATATTAGTAAAACATATGCAACATCTAAATAAACACACTTGCAACATACGTCTGGGAAAATATTTGAAACATTGGGAACAAAAGCTTGCAACATACGTGCACAACCATTGCAACATATGCAATACCCCAATCTACTTTTACAACATCCACATGAAACACTTGCAACATCTGGATGAAACACCTGAAATATTTAAAACATACTCTTGCAACATGCGTTTTCAGCGTGCAATGCCACCTTGTTGCTTGGATGAATCGCGGAGCTCGACGCCGGTGCGGAGGTGCGCCCCTGGGCGAGGACCTGCTCGGCGGCCTGGGCGAGCACCTGCGCGAGCACCCTGGGCGAGCATCTGCGCGAGCACCTGCTCGGCGGCCTGGGACAGCGCACCCTTGGCGAGTACCTGCTCGGCGACTCGGATGCCGTGGTGTAGGCGAGCAGCACGTGTGAGGGCGGCGCGGTGGAGTCAGGCGTGGAGGTCCGATGGAGCGGTGGATAAGGCCGCGGCGGTGGAGGCCAAGTGCATAGAGAGATTTTTTTTTTGGAAGGGGCGTGGACGGATAAGAGCAGGGAAGCCGCGTCCATCCGTCCCCGGACGCCCGCACAAGAGCATTCCCGTACGAGTAGTGGCTACTTGGTTCTTCCGTTCACAAAACATTCCGAAACGTTGTCAGACAAAGCAAAGCTAACCATCACACATATGCTTGTTCTTATACTTCTATAAAAGCTAGTAGCAGATTGTGTTATATTCTGAACTGAAGCTAGCTTGCCACGCACACGCACACAGCTGCTGGAGCTAGCGCGCAGAAGAGGTGAGGTCTACCAGTACCTGCAGGTGGAAAGCTCGCCACGCGCATGGCTAGCCGCCGTTGGCGTTGCCGCTCGCTCATAATCTTACATGAAAAAGAAAGAAAAGCTGCTTCTTCATCAGTTCACTAAATATTCCCAACCATCAGACAAAGCAAAGGTAACCGTCACATTCGATCATGTCTGTATACGTACTTATTCTGTACTGGCAGGCGAAGCAAAGGTACCCCACTACCTGGCTAGCACTTGCCTCCCCCGGCCGGGCCTCTATATAAGGCATGCATGCCTGTAGGATATTGCGTCGCCAAGCCACACAGAATAAGCGGAGCGCGCAGTGCACAAAGCAGATCGAAAGCACAAAGAACATAAGTGCAGCACACACCGTCGTGCTTGTAGCAGCACCCTCCTGATAGATGGCGATCTTGGGCTCCTCCTACACCACCCTCCTGATGAGCCTGGCGCCGCCAGCTCCGGCAAAATCCTCTCCCGCAGCGGGATCACTGCAGCTCCGCAGCAGACAGCCGGCGGCGGCTTCGTCAGTAGCGGCTCTGCGTTGGGCCTCATGCAAAGACAAGGAGTCGCCGTCCCGGGCTGCTGTCTTCGCGTGCCATGCGCAGAAGTACACGTACAACATCGAACGCGACGGTAATAACTTGTAGCTAGCTCGTCTACCATGCTCGCCCCTGTATGTTATATACTACTGACAGTAACTTTGATTTTGGGAATTTGGAAATTAGTCCTGCTGCACATTCCCACATTATCGGGCGACAACTGGAGCGTCATGGAAGACAGGGACCACTTCATCCTCAAGTTCAGGGTGGGAGAGTCGACGAGCAATGAGAAATTGGAGGTTACAACGACGGAGGACCTGGCGCGCCTGGTCATCAAGTACAGGGTCGGCGGTGGCGGCGGCGACCACAAGGACGCCTCCGCCGACGACGACAACCCAGCGAGCTCGCTGAACGTCCAGCTCACGATGCCTCCCGGCTACGACGGCAGGAATGCCAAGGGGATGATGTCGTCCAACGGCTGGCTCATTATCGCTATCCCCAAGCCTAAGCACGAGGCCAGGAAGATAGACATCTCGCCGCCACCGTCGTCGTCCCACCAGCAGTGATCATCAAATCATCATCAGTATATATACGACATATATAGCTTCTGGTTCTGCATGTGCGAATATTGTACCTAGCTACAAGCAGTATGTACCATGTAGCTGCTTTGCTTTTATTATTACGGTATTGACAACCAATAAACTAACTAATAATCTTGTATTCTGATGTTGTTTAATCATACGTCTTCTCTATTATATACTCCCTCCGTCGATAAAAACATGCAATTCTAGCACAATATCATAGTTTAGTATCTCAAATTCTAGCACAGTATCATAGTTTAGTATCTCAAGTTTGATTAATTATATATAAAAAGATATCAATATTTATGATATCAAATAAATATCATTAGATTTATTACGAAATGTATTTTCTTAATAAATTAATTTAAAGTCATAAATGTGAATAATATTTACTAAAATTTGGTCAAACGTAAACTACTTTTGTTGACACGCAACCTGTAGTTGTATGTTTTGTTCGACAGAGGGAGTATATGTTATAATATAAAATAACTGATAGGGTTGTCTCTATGATTTTGAGGACCCTTGTGCCAACATCCACGTACTAGCACTATTGGAAACCGGCACTTTGCCGAGTGTCTGCGGCACTCGGCAAAGCCCGAAATACACTTGGCAAAGGCTTTGCCGAGTGCCGCACTCGGTAAAGGATTAATCGGCAAAGAAGCCTTTGTTGAGTGCTATTTGTCGGGTACTCTGCAAAGCCTTTGCCGAGTGCCGGAAAAGCACTCGGCAAAGATTTACACTCGGCAAAATAAAAATGCGAAAAAACCCAAAAATAATAGTAATTTTTTTTTCAGGGAAGGTCGCCACCGGCCAGCGCACGTCCGTCCAGCGCCACCGGCCATCGAAGTCGCTGTATTTTTTGCGCAAAATTCGCGGCTAACGCGGCCAGTGGGATTCGAACTCACGAGGCCCTCGCGTGTCTTGTGCTCTACCACTGCACTACACTGTCACTTGTATCTAAATTCTGTTATCTATCCTCATGTATTATACTAAACCGAGAGTAAATTGCTTGTTTGAGGCCCTAAACGAATTCAAATAAAAAAGTGGTCAACTATAAAGTTTTATAGCTTTTTGAGATCTGCAATTTTCATTTAGGAAGTTTTTCCATCCGAGGTCGTTTGAAAAATTCGAATTTTAAATTTGAGAGATTCAAACGTAGTTTTGCATGATAAGATTATTTCAAATCAAAAAGTTGTCAACTACATAGTTTCATAACTTTTGGAGATCTACAATTTTCATTTAGGAAGTTTTTCCATCCGAGGTCTTTTGAAAAATTCAAATTTTAAAATTTTCAAACTCAAACGCCATTTTTGCATGACAAGATGATTTCAAATCAAAATGTTGCCAACTACAAAATTTCATAACTTCTCAAGATCTACAAAGTTTATTTTGGTCATTTGTTCATCCGACATAGTGGTAGTAACATTATTCACAAATCTTATATATCCCTCTTCTACTTTCATGAAACTAATATGAGACATACGAGAGAGATGTAGATTTTATGAACAACGTTATTGTCGTTTTGTCAAATGAAGAAATGACCAAAATAAACTTTGTAGATCTTGAGAAGTTATGCAACTTTGTAGTTGAAAAGTTTTCATTTGAATTCATTTCAGGCCTCAAAAATTGCTTTGAAAAAATAATTTGCCGAGGGCCAAAAAAAAATGCACACAGCAAAATGCCTCTTTGCCGAGTGCCAAAAAAAAGGCACTCGACAAAGACGTATTTTGCCGAGTGCCAAAAAATGGCACTCGGCAAAATACATCTTTGCCGAGTGCTGAAAAAAACACTCGGCAAAGCCGTCTTTGCCGAGTACCCGATAAAATACACTCGGCAAAGTACCGGTTTCCGGTAGTGTAGAGTTGTTATTAGTCGAGAAGTTGAATCTGCCAGAGCTGGTCAGTAGAGGATTTCTTTTGATTATCTGTCCAAAGCCCATTCACATAGAAGCTTCTGATCATCTATATTGACAGTATTTTGTGGGATGGATTTTTTTTATTCTCTCAACCTTTTTATAACTAATACTTTAAAAATAGCCCAGCTGAAAAAATTATTTGTAGATCTAACTTTTTGAACCGCGTCACACCATGGTTTGTCCAACGAGGATAGCATGGCCCGGCTCACCTCCTCCGTTTCGCGAAGGAACGCGTGAGGGACAACGAACAAAGACGAGAAGTCGCCTGATCGGTCTCCCGCAACGCGGGGGGGGCTCGGGGGCTATGCTCGCACCTTGACCCAACGAATGGTCACGCCCCCACAACAAGCCAGGGCTCGGGGGCTCCATACGTGCCCCATGATTGCGCGAACGACAAGGGCCGATACACGCAAGGGGAACGCACTCTAGGACATCGCCGACGGAGACCACTCTGCTCGATTCAAGCCCTTGAAGGAATGTCCCACTCCTCCAAAGGCTCGGGGGCTACTGTCGGATACCAATATTTGGGTGCCCAAAGAAGGGGAACTGATGGTCATCGACGATCAGTTCACTCGGACGGTTAAGGGGCATGACCGTGGCCTCGTCCGACCCCGGGGGTGTGGCCTCCGCCTCGTTCGACCCCAGGGACACGGATCCCGCCTCATCCGACCCCTCAGGGAGGTCTCCGACTCGTCCGACTCCCGAGGGTCGGGTTCCGTCTCGCCCGACCCCTAGGGCATGGGCTTCTCTTCGCCTAGCCCCCGGGACAAGATTTCCGCACTGCCTCAACCACTATGGGGTGGGGAAATGAGTCCGGGAGCACGTCTCTGACATCAGGGAGGGGGCAGGCACGTCCTGATGTGACTAGTGGCCTTGATGGGTTGCGCTGGGAGCCTCACGTCGCCCACAGCGTCACCAGGCCAGCACTGTGCTGCCAACTCCCCGTATGGCCTCCATCAGAGGGAGTCGTTGACCATACCGTCCGCCCGGATGGGAAGGACGACAAGACCGGCGTACGACGCCCCCACGTGTGCTGCAGCGGCTAACAGGGCTCTGGCATGGCGCCGCTTCCGCCACGATCTACAGGATAAGCGGGACCCACACGAAGAGGAGGATAGCACAACCCCGGGAGCCTTTTTCTCTTTCTCCTCCCTCTTTCTCATGTAACCTGCTCTCCCCCCTTGGTCTATAAAAGGGGAGGCGGGACACCGTACGAAGGGAGGGACTCTAGGACCGGTCGATCCATCGAGGGTCGACAGACACCATCGCACGCACGGAGCACTTCAACTCCACTCGAACACACAGAGACTTGGGATCTGCTCCCTCTCTCGCCAGTTTGTAACCCCTACTACAAGCTAAGTGCTTGTAACACAAGCAGCTCGAAACTAGACGTAGGGACATTCAACCCAAACTAGTATAATTCTCGTGTCCTCTTTGCACACCATCTGGGCCTAGACGCGTAGTCACAAATTTACTTGTCATCGTGTCTAGAGCGCCATTTTAGACACCGACAGGCCCATACTAGGCAGCCACACACGATTTGTAGTTTTTTTTTTCATTTTTGTGAGAAATAAACGCAAGTTGCGGTACCAAGGAATCTAACTCATGAGTCACTTATGGCTTAACATGAGAACATTCCCTTAGTATTCAGTCAAATTGATAATGAAATTAAGAATTAAGGCTCTAAATGGATTTAAATGAAAAACATTCCGACTACAAGGTTTTAGATCTCGTCGAGAACTACAACTTTGCTTTTGATCGTTTTTCCATCAAAGATCATTTGAGAAATTCAAAAAATTATGAATTTTAAAATCATTAATCTTAAAACATAATTTTTGAGCCTAAATGATTTGAAATGAAAAAATAGTCAACAACTACAAAGGTGTAGATCTTTTCAAATACTACAACTTTAGTTCAGACCATTTCTCCATCCGAGATTATTTGAAAATTCAAAAAATAATTTCTAATTATTGTTTGCAGTGGTGCAATGTTAAGAAAACCTCCTGTATAAATGTATTTGTACTGACTATTTTCTTTAAGCCTACAGGCAGTAGAAATCATGTATTTACACTAGCGGTTCTCTTGTGGTAGACTTAAAAACAGTCAGTAAATATGAATTTACATTGGCCGTTCATAGCCATGGACCTGCAGTTTCATTTCTACTGGCACCTATCCATTATGAACCACTGGTGAAAAAAATCACAAGCGTCAGCAAAAGCGATTTTGTACTATTCCAAACTGGAATGTCGCTCATACTAGCTTTTACAAACGACAACAAAAATGTTCGTTTAGTTCACCAAATATTCTGAACCGGTAGACAAAGCAAAGCTAACCAACACATATGCTTTATACTTTTATAAAAGCCAGTAGCTTGTTCAGTTCACTAAATATGTATTCTAAACTGGCTGACGAAGCAAAGCGACCCAGCACTTGCTCCCCCACACGTCCTCTATATATAAGCTTATACATACGATGCATATATATCGCCACAGCTAGCAAGCCGCACGGCACAAGAACACATATAAGTGCAAGTGCACACCGTCGTCCGTGTAGCTAGCACAGCACTACTAGCGCGGTGCGATAGATATGATGGCGATGTTGAGCTCCTACACCACCACTCTCCTGAGCCGTGCGCCGCCAGCGCCGGCACCGGCGCAGGAAAATCCGCTGTCGCCGCCGCCCTGCAGCTCCGCAAAGAACCGGCTACATCATCGTCGCCGGTAGTGGCTGCTCGTCGTCCCGGCTGGCTCCTGTCTTCGCGTGCCATTGCCATGCGCAAAATAAGTACTGCCGCGTACAAGTACGATATGCAACCCAGTGGTAAGATGTACGAAGCTGGTGCAGTATGTACACTAGTTATTATAAAAGTACCATATATATACAGTAAAGTAACTCGGGATTTTGAAATTTGGAAAGCCCTGGTGCACCCTCGAACACCAGAATCAGGTGGCGACTGGACTATCACGGAAGACACGAATTTCATCACCCTCAGGCTCAAGGTGGGAGCAAAGACGACCAAGGATGAACTGGAGGTTGCAGTAACGGACGACCAGGTGCTCCTGGTCATCAGGTACAAGCAGAAGCAGCAGGGTGACGGCGGCGGCAAAGAAAAAGACGACAGCCCGAAGAGTTCGCTGCCCGTCCAACTGCTGATGCCTCCCGGCTGCGATCATAAGAAGGTGAATGCGAGGTTGTTTGAAGGGTGGCTGGAGATTATTGTCGCCAAGCCTAAGCCCAGTGAGGAGATATCAATCACTCAGTAATCATGATCATCAAAATGTATGGATAGATGTACTGCTTTCTCAGAGCTTCTGTTCTGCATGTTCTAATTATACTCCCCCCCGCCCTGCAATACAATATGTTCTAAAAATTTTAAGATAACTTTAAGGATTTCCTCCTTAAATCATGATTTCCTTTTTAATAAACCCTATCAAATCTGGGCATAGGCACGACATACAATATATATACATTATATATTTCAGTACAAATTTTGAAAGTCATCGTAAGGGCACCCACAATGGGATGAAAAAGGTAGCATTAAGACAATATATGCAGCCTTGTGGACTGAAAGCTTGGAAGCCGTGCCCGTGACGTACTCCTACCTGGGATACTGCTTAGCTGGTTGTGGTAAGAGCCGTGAAGAGTGTGGTGCAGACCGAATGGCGATATGATGGTCACTCCTGCGATCGCAGAATCTTCCCTTTTACTGATCTATATACTATAGTATTGTCTTGCCTTCATTCTATTCTGTTGATTCATGACTGTTCCCGCTAGTAATAAATTCGTTCAAAGACTTGGCTCTGATAATGATGAACGTAACCTTCTTGTGTTGCAATTTGGATCTATGATGCATGGATATGACTCACCAGCCTTGCGGACTCTACTCAGTCGTTTGGTTTGCCTTGGTGTTTAAGTATAATCGTTCACCGGATGAGGAAGCAATACCCAAACTTTAGGTACAGCGTGTTCGTTTTTTCTGGGCTGTGATATCTTCAAAGCATCACAGAAGCTCCAAGTAACCGCTTGCTGAAAAGGTGTACCGCTGAAGCTCAATCTTTACTGTATCAGTCATGCATAATGCAGCGGCGCACCTTGTCCTGATCGCTATGCTTTATATGTGTATATATTTGTATTTTCCTGTGTTCTTGCACGGCAGTAGTATATTGCGGCATGCCTTCTACAACCACTGACTGAGTATCATTTCTAACAGGGGAGATAAAGGTGGCAAGCTGTTCTGTGTCTTGTCTCTGCTCAGCTCTGTCTCGCCACATGAGCCTTGGCAATGCCCAATCCACATGCTCAGCTCTGTCTCGCCACATGAACCGCTGCGACTACATGCACGTTTGGGAACGAAATTAAATAAAGCATCCAAAAAATGGCATCCACATCATATCTTGTCTGTACTGTAACCCTCTTTTACTTTAAATAAATTAAATGCAGGGGTGCAAACCCTTTGAGTTCCCAAAAAAAATGGCATCCTCGAAACTAAAAACAAAATACCATTGGCAACTCCACCTATATATGGACCTACCCGCCCCTGCTCCTGAAGCTGGTCGTTGCAAACAAGTGCTCTTGGTTGAGCTGGCGCGAGCCATGATCTGGTAATATCGTGGAGGGATGCCATCCAAGAATGTGTTAAGATGGTTTGAAGAATGCCACTGCAACACGAGTACCCGTACTACACCAATTAACTTTGATAGGATGAAACTAAAACATGATGGGAGTTGGTTGTCTAAGGGCCCTCATCTAGGATCATAGGCTTTCCACTATACCCATGCGACATTTCAGGAACCGTTGTTGGAATCCAAACAGCAGGCCCTGGAAATGCTATTCTCAGCCGAGTTCGACCCAGTTGCCATGAACCTCGATATGGCTGGGTTAGACGTTGATGCAGTCTAAACACCGTGTACTGCTTCCGTCGCGCATATGTTGCTTAATGTCACCATCTTCTAGTTGCTTTGTATGGAACGTGCGTGGACTTAATGGTCGTGGCACGCCGAAATGTTGTTAGGGAAGTTCCTCGCACAGGAGCGAGCGACCCTTGTGTGCATCTATAGGAGACCAATGCTCACGTGCGTCAACTACGTGTTTCGGATGGAACGTGCGAGGTCACAATGCTCGTGCGCGTCGCATTGTCGTTACGGAGTTCGTTGCCCAAGAGCAGGCGACTCTTGTATGCCGCTACTCTCCGCTGCGATTGGCCATCTAGATCGAGGAAGGGGTCAAGACTGGTACATGGCGGGTTTCGATAGCGGCGGTGGCTCATGTCGCCACGCTGAGTGCCTAGGCCACACGTTGTTATCATGTCACAAAATACTGTTGTGTAAATCACAACCACGTAGTTTTTTCGTCGCTGGTCTCGGTAACCTTTGGATTACCAGGGCCAGCTTAGGATCTAAAAAACTCTATTTCGCTTATTGAAAAACATGCCAAGGCACGATCGCGAAAAAAAAACATGACCATGAAAATTTTTGGGTGGTAAGCTTTTTGTTAAAGGAATGGCTAATGTCACTGTAGTACTAACATATGCACAATATTAACAATTTGATCCTGAGTTATATCTTCACAACAAAATATTTAATGTCAATGTGTTCGCCAACACGACTTGACATGGTATTACTTGAAACAAACACTGCAGCCTGATTATCACAGTGTATCGTAAATGGTTTTCGAGATGTTGTCTACCACTCTAAGTCTAGGAATAAAATTGTTTAACCATACGACTTGCCCTGTAGCTTCATAATATGCCAAAAATTCTGCACGCATCGTTCATGCTGTTGCATGGACTGCTTAGTGCTTGTCTACGAAATGACTCCTTGCGCTACTGCAAAGACATATCTAGAGGTCAACCTTCTACTATCAACACAACCAGCGAGATCAGCGTCTACATAACCGTTTACCAACAACCTCAAGGTTATCATACTTCTTATATGTGAGCATATAATGCTTAGTCCCATGCAAATAACATAAAATTCTATTAACAGCCTTCCATTGATCCATTCCATGATTTGACTAAAATTTGCCAAGCAACCCGGTTATGTACATAGGCTAAAACAGGACATGTGCATACTTGTCCATATGTAATGCTTCCAACAGCATAAGCAAAGGAATTAACTTCATCTGATCAGATTGTATCTTATTCTTAGCACATTGAAAGTCGCCCAATTTATCGCCCTTCACAACAAGTGCAGATTTAGGTGAACATTTGAGTACTTTAATAGTGTAAATATTTTGAGACAAACCGAGGCTTTCACCGAGATCCTTCGTATCAAAATTAGATGAGAGGAACCCTTTAATTTATTATTTGCAGCATGTTCTTATCACTGCTTACTAATAAAATAGTGCCATTGAGAGGAATGGTGCTATGGAGCTGATCAGCAACAACTGAGGCGTTAACAATTGAATCAATAAAAATAGAACATTAGTAACAATGTTAAAATAATGTTGTGCATGCAAATAACCCTATGTTGGTCTGATTAAAACATGCTAATGAAACTCTATTCTGTATCACCATTGAGAAAAACCGAAAAAGAACTATGATCATAAATTTATGACATATGCATATAAATAAACATCGGTCAGAATTATATGCAGAAGCCACACTTAAACATTCTCCAATTAAAATTTCATGTCGGCTCCATCTCAATCAGAGAACTTCAACATAATTTTGCGGCTCAAGTTAACATTATTTCCAGCTTAATAAACATAAAAAACAATGGTACTGGGAAAAGTTCACTAGTACATAAAAGCTTTTTAGAGGCGGTTAAATCTAGTTTTCAGGGGCGGTTGGGAAAACCGCTACAATGACACCAATTTTAAATATTAGCGTTTCTAGCATCGGGCATTTAATCGTCTATGGAAAAGCATTTTTAGGGGTGGTTCCATTACGATATCCGCCCCTAAAATGGTATTTTTAAGGGCGGTTGCATTAAGAGAACCGCCTTTAACAATGCATTTTTAGGGGCGGCCCAAATATGAGAACCGCCCCTGTAAACCCATTTTTAGTGGCGATTGCTGCACTGCAACCGTCCTTGAAAATGTTTTTTATCAAGGACGGTTGTGGCAACGCAACCGCCTCTGAAAATGTATTTGCCCGTGTGGTTCACTGAACTGCCTCTGAAAATCAGTTTTAAACTTTTGGAATTCAAAATTTCCCGCCATATTTGAAATCGATTTTTCCCACCAAGTTTCTGACTCGATTGCAAATGATTCAAATTAACTTCATATATACATAGTAGTGAACTAGTTAACCAATACACACATGACCAACAAAGTATTTGTAGCATAATTTCAAATATATATTACAAACTATTCATTAACATTAATTGTGCTTCTGCTCGAAAAATGAAACGAAGGGATGTTCGCATGCCGCGAAGAGACTCAAACTTGGGATCTGTGGCATACTCCGAGTCAGGATCAAAGAATAAGCCCCTTCTGGTGCTTCTGTAGCTTCCTTGTTGCCTGCATCCGTACGTCTCACCATGATGATCCCAAATCTCGTAGTTCTCCTTGAAACCCCTTCTTACTAAGTGTGATCTTATCGTATTTGGATCCCGGCATACTATACGGTTCCAACAATCACAACAAGGACAATATATATCCATTGTCTGCTTAATCAAAGCGTGTCTTTTAGCGGCTTCAATAAAAACATTCACATCTTGTATGTACGAAACATCATGTCTTCGTTTCGTGTACATCTGTGACCTGTCCATATGTGGCCTTCGAAAAGAAAAAAGATATATTTGCATCAATAGACAATATACTATTCACATATAAATGTTGAAGGAATTGTCTAATTTTTTTGTACAAATATTATATTATTCTAGACCTAGAGCTTAAAAAATGTTATAAACACCCTATGGACCAAAAATAAAAAAGTAAATATACATATTAACTAGAGTTCATGTGAGCCAAGTAAGTTGGGCATAAAATCACTCTAAATTGCTAGGACAAATTAAAAAAACATTTTGCATGTCTCTCTCTAGATCCCCAAGTGAAAGAAATTAGTGAAAAAAATGTATAGATAAAGTTTGAAAAGAGTTCTAGAATGCCATAAGCTCACATCTGAAACCGAACTCCTTCGAAGGTTCAAAGGGCAAAACCTCCCCCCTCTATTTCTTGCTATTTCTCGTCCTCCAAGTGAGAGCTGAACAATGGTGTTCAGCGGCACTGTCACGAGGAGGAAGAAGGATATTTACGGAGCTATTTTTAGGGGCGGTTGACTAAGAGCACGGCTTCTGTTAATGGATTTGAGACATGATTC